CCACTGGGGACACAGCAATGCCCAGAGACATTTTTGGTTGTCATGTGGGGGAGCTGGCACACAGTGAGTGCAGGCCACGGATATCATGCCACATCCACAACACACATGGGCAGCCCTCACTACAAGGAACTATTCAGCCCAAAGGTTAAAAAACCGAGGTAATGAGAAAAAAGCAAGCCTGTGTTTCAAGTGACATCTTCTGACTCACTACTTTGTGTGATCTTTGCCAAGTTATAAAATTTATTTTAATCTTAGTTTGCTTTTTCTGTGAAAATAGTATAAAGATATTATACTAATAAAACATTTCCTGTGAATAAGGCCTTAAAATGTATTACTTCCATCCTACTAGGCATGGGTGGTGGCTTCAGGGATGATTCTGCTTCCCAACTTGAGGAGGGCACCAGGCTCAGGACTCAGACCCCCTGGGCTGCTCCTCTTGCTCACAGAATGGTGTCAGTAATGCCAGACATCACGTCCTCATGCAGCAGGGTCCAAAGCAGGAGGGAGGGCGGCCAGGAGCAGAAAAGTCTTCCTCTCTTGTCTGGAGGGAAATAATTTCTGGTAGCCTCTTGCAGTTTCCTCTATAGTCTCTTTGGCTAGAACTGGCTCACACATTCATCCCTGGACTCAGCACTGGTCCACGTGAGGGGGTTGCCATGACTGGCTGAGACCAGTCAGGATTCACCCCTGGCTTTAGGCAAGTCCTGTTCAAGTGCTGGTAGTACCAGCCCAATCCAACCTAGATGCAACCTGTCCCTTGGAGAATGGTAAGGAAGAATTCTTGTGATGAGCACCAAACCCCCTTCATTCCAAGTGTCTCCTTCATGAAAACCTGTCTTCTCTGGCAGGTGTTCTTGCCATAGGCTCTTTGGGTTGCAAATGCTGAGATTCTCAGGTGTGCTCTTGGGTAGGAGATTTATTTCAAGTAAGCATATGGGCTAGAATTCAAGTGACTTCTCTTCCCACTTTTATTTGTCACTGTAATGTTTCCTCCTGGTCCCACAATTGTAGATTTTGCCATAGTCTCTGTCTCCCTCAGTTTTGGCTTTCCTAATAAGCTGTTAAAGAGCACCTAGCAATCTCAATGCCCACTTCCTTTGCACTTCAGGTGAGGAAATGGAAGCCACGGGGCTTGGAGAGAATGACCATTGCCCCGTATCCTCTAATCTGACTGCAGTCTGCACTTTCAGAAATTTCAGAATAATACTGGGGATACCTGAACCTTCAGAGACTCAGTAAACAGGCCCCTGACCTACATTACCCTCACACCTTCAGGGAGAAATAAAACTAATGGAGGAGACCAGCTATCTCCGAGAGCCTCTCGCAGATCACCGCGCTGGTCCACTCCATCCGCCTCCACACTGGATCTCTGCCCCGAGTGCCTGACCTTCTGTAGTCAGCAATGTTTCAACCCCTGCCCTTCCTTGCTGCTTTGCTGTCCTAGGCAAGGGTCGAGGCTGAGGTTCTTCTCCCAGGCTACAGCTCTGGCAGGGTCTCCATGCCTCTGATAGGGACTGCAGAGCTGCCTGCAGGGCCACCCCTCTCTAGGCCCCATCCCTCACGTGGCTCCAGCAACTCTGTCTGCCCTTCCACCTGCAGGCCTAGGACAGTCATGACCATGAGCTGTTGGTCCCTGGGGCCTCTGTGTCCTGTACCATTCCCTTAACTCAGTCTGCATGTCTGCCCAGAGCACCTTCATCACGTTCTCTTCAATACCCCACAGACCATGGCTCCTGTTTCCTGCCAGGGTCATGACATATGCAGGTGCCGAAGACAGAGCCTTCATCTCTAGGCCTCATCTGAATCATGTTATCTCATGCTTCGTAATCGTGGGCTCTTTTTCCTGACATTGCAATAACCTTCCTAGAGGCTTCTGGCTCCTCCTAGCACTGAGCTGGGTTGGAGTCTATCTCACAGAGAGACAGACTACAGAGGAGCAGGAGGAGTTCTGTGTAAAAATTTAGGGCCAACATCAATGTGTCAAGCTATGGATATTGCTATCCTGAGTAAATATATGGCTACATCTACTATTATTTACTTAATGTATTTGGCTTTTTCCCATGGTTATTGTTGTAAAATTCACTTGTTTTTAAGTTATCATTCTAGATGAGCTGTGCATCTTTTCTGTTGTTATTAAGAGAGAGTTTTGCAATAGAGTGTGTGTATTCACAGGAGGGACAGAGAGACAGAAAGTGAGAAATCATCCTCTGGGGGAAAGACCATGCCGCAATCCCTTCTCCTCCATTCTCTTCTTGGGATCTGGGGCATGCATGCACCTGCGTCCAGTGTGAGTTTTAGGTTGCTGGGTTCAGAACTCACTGTGGTCAGCTATGTGGGAGTCCAGCGGTGTAATCACTGCACCATCCACTAGTCCCCAGATTTCGTTTTTATGCACGTGTTATGAGGGACCGCCAACTGCCCATAAATGAACACACAGCAGCCCATGGTTCCCACTGACATGATCCAGCCCTAGGGTCCAAAATTCCCTTGTCCTATGGTTCATCCATTCCTGAAAAACTAAGCCAGTAGGAAACACTTAGTACTCCTGTATAAATTCAGCCAATGAGACAGGCCTTCAGCAATTTGAAGGGAAAATAAAGTAACATGTTTTTAATGTGAAAATAGTCAAGACAGTAGAAGCATCTCTTCACCTTTCATCCCCAGTAAGAATACTTGTCCTAGATTTCTCCTTCCAGCCAAATACCTCCATGCCAGAGGCAGATGGGTAGGCAGTGGATCCGTGGACACATGAGAAATCGTCCAGATCTGGGTCTTGTCTGAGGGGGAGCATCCTTTCAGTGGAAGAAGGAAGGCCCCTGATCCCTATTTGTGCTTGTGAAACCAGAATGGGACTCGACCTCATTCTGCATGCCCCTGACGCTGCTCCCGCCACCAGGCGCTAAGCCAGCCACTTGATGGCTACGCTGGTGTAATTCCTCAACTCCAGCACACTGTGAAGGGAGAAACTCACACACTCTTTGAACTCTAGGGGAATCTTCCCCGGTAGGTCAGGTAGGCATGAGGCAGTGCCCCTCTTAGCCCTTCCCAGCAGCCAGGGGACACAGTGTAGATGAGAACTGGTAATGCAGGGCCCCCAGAGCAACCCATTCCCTACCCTAGGCTGACAGCACAGTCAGGAAATAAAAGTAACGATCAAAACGACTAGTCGAGAGACTGTGGGCCTGTATTTATAAACCTTATACGAATATTCTGCCTGACCACCATTCTACTGGAGACTGGTTCCATGAACAAGAGCTTCAGGCTACTTTCTAGAGATAACGGAGGCAGCAATGTTTATGCAGCAGGCAGGAGTTAGGTGCAAGGTACAGCAGGCACTGGTTTATTGGCAGGTCCGTTCATGGTATTTTCTTATTTATTTTTATTGTTTATATATTCACTAGCTGTACATCATTTAGATAGTAAAGAGAAGTTACCCAGCATGATATACACCTCAGATCAGTCCAATTGAGAATAATATACAAGTCGTCATCAACAGGTCATAAACCATATCTGTGTCCCACAGATGTCTAACTTCTGTATGTGCTATTAAGATTAGGGCCTCCATGGAGCTAGCAGATGGCATAGTTGTTATGTCACTGGACTCTCACATGGTTCGAGTCTGGACCCGGTGGCTTGAAACTCACACGAGGCATAGGCATGTGTGTGCACTCCCAAGATCCTGGGAGGAGAATGGAAGAGAAGGGATTGAGATGTGGCCATCCCCCCAGGGAATGATTTCTCACTTTTCCTCTCACTGTCTCTGTCTCTTTCGCTCTGGTGAGTGCACACACCCTAAGGCAACAAACAAACAAAAACAAAACAAAACAAAACAAAACAAAACAAAAAACACTTTAAAAAAAAAGATGAGATGGGAACTAGCAGTTAGCGTAATGGCAATGTTGCTGGACTCCCACGTAGTCGACCGCGGTTCGCGTCCCGGACCCGGTGGCTTAAAACTCACGCCAGGCATGTGTGCATGCGTGCCCAAGATCCCGAGAGGAGAATGGAGGAGAAGGGATT